AAAATACTCACTTGCTGCTTGAAATATCGTCTCTCCTCTTCATCCACCAGCACGAGATTCAGGTAATATTTGACGGAGAACTTCTTGTTGATGTCCCTCATGGAAGGACTCAAGTCGTATCCCGCCAAGAACAACCGGATCGGAATGCTTTCTCCTCTCACAGGTGCCCCTGGCAAGTAGAAAGGAAGAAAAAAAGGGGGATAAAATATTCAAACATTCAATCCGTACATTCCGAAATAAAATAAAAAGCATTACAGTTGTAAAATATGTGTGAAAAGTGCTACAAACGCAGCGAAAGTTCCGACTTCATCACAAACTAACTGTGAATCTCAAGAGATCGGACATGAAGAAATATAATTTCCAGAGAAATGAAATTACCGCATTTAATAAAGTACCAAATTCACCTTTTTCTTCTCAAAACTGAGAGGGGAAAAAAGGGAGTGGGCATCGTAAAGGGGGTGCCGCATACATTTTTAAAATCGTTGCATAAGGTGATTATTACAATTGATTCTAATGGGAATTTTCTCATCAATCTCGAAAGAAAAACTTCTTGTAATGAAAGCAATTGAAAAGTATGGTAGTTGGATTCAGGTTCAACTCAAGTCCGAACACTGAGTGTTCTCATTTTTTTAATATTGCAATTTTGGAATCATTGAAAATCGGGGAGTGTATTTCTCATGGATACAATTTTCATCAAAAATTTTCACTGAAAAACCCTGGTGCGCGTCTTATTCAAGAACGAGTGGTACTCAATTAAATAAGGTCAGAGGCATTCCCAACATCAGTTAAAATGAACGCCTCACAGGAATCTGATCATTTCGGGCATTCTCCAGTTTAATTTTAAGTCTAATTTGATGAAGAGCAAAAATTTTCCTCCACGGCAGCGAGTACGACTTTGAAAATTCTGCTCCTGTATATCCCATCATTTCTTCAAATTTTACAAGGACACAACATTTTCTGCATTTTTCACTGGTTTGGCAGAAAGAATCACACAGCGTATTTACCATCCATTATTTCGTATTTGGTTATGGTCTCGTTCTCGTTGAACGTGTTGGGCCCAGCACCCGTCGTTTCCCGCTTGATAATCGCAATCTCCATGTGCTTGATCTTGATCCTGACGAGCAAGAAGAAAATCTTGCCCACGATCACGTCCTTGAGGTGGTACTTTGACTTGTTGTACTCGAATTCGATATGCAGACAGTCTTCGATGCCGACCTCCATCTTGATGCTGGAGTTGATCTCGGGATACGAAGACAAGGTGTGCACGATGATGTCGACTTCGCGGACAATGTCCGAGATCCTTCGCAGAATCGTCACCCGCAAAAAGTATCGCAGTCGCACATTCCCGCCCGTGTAGGATTCGTAGGGCTTCTCCACCTGGTTGAACTCGAACGTGAAGCTCGTGTTTTGGGCCAAGATGCCCGGCCGAGCGAGCTCTTTGACGAGAGATGTGAACTCGTGATGGTTGCCCCTGCACGAATCAGAAATTTTAAAATTCAAAATTCGCAATATAATATAATTTATCACATAAACTCTCGCAGATTTCGGAGAGAAAACGTGAATGAGAAAAAGATATTTCTGCTTCGCGGAGAGCGATATAAAGGCCAAAATTCACATCGGGGCCATCCACGATCGTCACAAGGAAGGATGAGATCGACTGAATCAATCGCGCGAACTTGTTTGACAGATGAGGAAACCCCTCATATCGCCGAAAATCACGTCGGACATTGGATGAAAGAAGAGGATAACCACAGCTTTACGTTAAACACAACACACGCTAACCTGTCGTAGTAAAGCTCGATTTGACCGACGAATTCAATCTTGATGCCTTGGTGCTCCAACTTGGTTCCGGGTTTCTTGAGAGTGACATTCACTTTCCCGCCCACGCTTTCCCCGTCGTAATAAAGGTAGTGTCTCTCTTTCTTGCCGTCCTCCGTCTTGATCTCGGCCATTTTCCGCGTTTCCGAGCCATGGAGGATAATGTCGATGTCGGCACCTTGGCCGAAGCCGAAGAAGCTCTGCCAGACAAAATCTTACGTCAGCGAAGCACGAGTAGAATTTCGAAATTACAACAACTCACCATCTTCACGGATGCTTACGCCTCAGGTGATTCTCACAGGGGGGTTATAACATCACAACACTTCTAGCACCTTTAGAAGTAAAGTAAGGGAAAATTACGAAAAAGCCCGATGCAAAATTACAGTACAGAAAAATCCAACTTTTCAGGCACTTCCGCGCGAATACCTGCGATTTTTCCCAGAAATTCTTAATTCCATAAATGGTTCGACGATGCGCGATAGGCGAAAAAACTGGGAAGCATTTAATGTGGGGAAAAAATGTATGACCAGCGTATTTCTTCAACAGGGTCGTACACACACACACACTCGACTTTTCCAGAGTTGAGAATGCAGGAGGGGGGACGAAAAAATCGTACAGGGAATCACTGAAGCTTCTAGAATTCGACTGTAGGCGCACTTATTCGCCTCTCTCAGCTGAGGGCATCGACGTCTACCAGAGCTAGCGAGAATCAACACTAAGCGCAGTTTTCCGAATCGCACACGAGCACGATGGGCGAGGGCTGAAATACTTTCGAACGCCAATACAAATGCCAGAATAAACACGATTNCTCAGGCTGGCATAAGGAATGACATCTAAGATCAATAAAAATTCCAATTCGACCAGAAATACATTTATATTGATTTATTTCAGTGAACGATTAAGCCAGATGGCATATTTCAATAATTTCAAAGTTTTCAAATTCAACTTCAAGACTATTTTCAAAAATCTCAACACATGAGATCACTCATGAAGATCCAAAACAACATTTCACATAAAAAAAAATGCAGCTCATTACTCTCAATAATACTCAAACTTTATTCCACCCCAGGGAGAAAATCCGCGCACCAAAACACCATCAGGCTTCATTACAGAAAACGATTTTCCTTGAAAGAAGGCCTCTTGATCATCTCCCTCAACTCAGCCTCAACCTTGGGAATGGGCCCAAGCTCAGGCAACATAATCTCGGGGGCCACATTGCCCTTGTTGACAATGCCCATCCCCAGGAACTTGGGCATTCCCAGGTCCCTAATTCTGCTGTGCACCAAGTTCTTCAGGTCTCTGTTCAGGTCCCACAGGTACAGCATGTCTTCAAACCTCACTTCAGGGGGTCTGACACCACTACTCGAAAAGAGAAGAAAGTACTTTACTGAACACATACACCGTACAGCATTTAAATAAATAAAAAAAGACACCTTCAGCAAAGAGTGGATCTAAAATACAATTCAAAAACAGAACAAAAAGCAGGAAAACAAAGATGGTGACTAACCCGTCACCACCTTCTTCTTCCACCCCATCTTCATTGTCATCAGGTCCAGTAACTGATTCTCCTGAAGGAGTTCTACGAGGTGTCTTATTCTTCTCAGATGTCTGCTCAGTCTTATTGGATGCTGTCCCTGATGCAGACTTGAGGCCTCCTGACAAAACCACCTGCACACACACATACTGTAGTGCAATTATTTCCTCGAAAGATGATTTTTTCATAGTGCCAAATTTAAAAACATTCATGCAAAAATACAGCAGTAACACACGGACCATAAATGACTGGCAGAGTTACTCACATTTTCCAAATTTACAGAGTTGTGGCAGAAATTCAGGGGAAATCAATGACATATCTCCTTTGAGTTTGTCTCTTCTGTACTTTATTTAAAACATCAATCACAATTGAAACAACATTTAAAAATTCTCGATCAACTTGAATACAGTATATCCAATTGCTTTGACATAATCACTCTGACCATAACATTAAAAATTGAATAAAGATTAAGCAACTAAGAACCTAATTATATGCACTCAGATTCTCCCTGCAATTCTGAGGTTTGAAGTGGAAAAAAGATTTTTTCCAAGATCTTTCATGGAGCTGTTTTTCAAAAATGGATGCTTTCCCCAATTTTCAATCATGCCAATCTTACCGCCAAATAAAGTATGTTAGCAAATGCAGGGAATCCGACCCTAATTTTGTACATTTTTCTGAACAAATATTTTTTTATTAGCCAGAATTTTTTCTTGTGGCCTGCAAAAGACTCTTCCTCTCCTTGGCATGTCGCCCACCAGTACACCACCACCACTTCTCTAGAAAAATTTATTTACCGGGTATTCCCTATATATACATTTCAAAGATGGAACAATTTCACATATGCAGCATATAAATATACATATGTTACATAATACTGTTTCTAAGTACAACACTAAACCTGGGAAGTTGATTCCGAGTTGTCAGCAGCAGCATCATCAGCTTCGGGGGATCCAAAGCCCAGCGACTCTTCCTGATGGGATCCACCAGACTGCCTCATGCTCAGAATCTCGCGAACAACGGCTCTTCCTCTGTACACAGCCTGACCCGGAATGACAGAGCCCGCAGCTTTGACCCCAGCTCGTCGGCCAGCAGATGATGACGACGAC